ACATTTGCTTGAATGCCAAGAATTTCTTTTAACATTTATAACACATAAACTTCTTAATAGATTAAAAAAATGATATACAGTGCTGATTGTCTATACTCAAAAATCATGAAATTTAAATATCATGTGATATATACACCAGATTTTAAAGAGAATACCACCATTCAACTCAGCTTTAAAAAAAAGAATTAATTCAAGACATAAAAAAAATTAGCCCCATTTTTATGTCACTGATCTTTCCTAATCTGGATAATTCATAAATTCATATGTTTCATTTATTCTTTTGACAAAAGCAATTAAAAATGCAAAAAAATAAGTTTAAGTTACACAAAAACACAGATAAAACTCAAATTTTAATTTCATCATACACAGAATCAGGTACTCTCCTACGTGAACTATACTTTTTCACTGCAAACTCTGCCAACTTTCCTGAAATTCCCTTCCTATAAATATCCATGTATCTCCAACTTTTTTGTGCATAACAACAAATTGTTGTCAAAGATACTGAATTTAGTGCTTCTGGTACAACTGTTTGTAAACTTGACCACTTGTAGTCACAATTCTTTCTTGTATAATGTTTTGCAGCTCCCCAAAACATCTCAATAAAATTGAGCTCACAATGAAATTTTGGATAAAATATACATTTGTGTCCTCTTTTTTCAATTTCCTCTTGAAGAGTTGATTTTTGTGACAAGAAATCAGGTTGTAATGATATAATGTGCCTCATGCAACAATCCACTTTTTTCAAATCAACTACTTTGGTATTTTTCCCTTTACATAATTTACAGTCAGCAACTAATCCATCACTCCATAATCCTCTTTCTTTTAAAATTTGGCACATTCCTTTAGGTAAATTTGGATGAGTTGGATGGTTAGCAGGAAAGATCATTTCTTGTAGAGTATTATTTGGCCCATAAAATGTTGAGTGCATGCAAGGTTGTTCACCCCCAGGTTTTGCATTCATATGTGCAGCATTCAATCCATCTTTTGGCAAAGCTGCAAAATCCTTCATGTAAATCCATTTTAGACTGCTTAAGGAATGTTTACTCAGAAATAGGGTTTGTATTCATGAATATCATAAGGGGGTCACACAGGGTCACACACTATTAAAATCAAGTGATCAACTCATGTTTTTAAGGGATTTTTTGCTGTTTTAATAGTGTGTAATCACCTTAATGATATTTGTGATATTCGTGAATAAAAACCCTACTCAGAAACTCATGAATATGGAATTTGTTGGATTTGGATGCTTGTTGTATTCCCTGCAAATGTCAAACAAAAAAGTTTTCATCAGTGGATCAGGAAGAAAAAAGTTTTGAAGTGGTAATTATAGCTGATGCTAATAATGCTGAACAGCTACTTGATGATGAAGCTATTGAAGTCCTAAATTGTTTAAAAAACAAAAATAGCTTGAAAAGGATACATGTATATACTTTTGTGCAAGATAAATAAATAAAATTAGATTCATTTAAAAGCTTATTGGATACTTTATTAAATTCTATCTACATTTTTTTCTAAGACCAATTCAAATCTACATTTCATAGACAATAATATTTTGACTGTTTCCTGAGGAATTCCTCAACCATAAATCTCTTCAATTCGTCAACATTCTTTGGCATTCTTTTTTCAACATTTATTTTTCATGATATACTGCATGTTCCCAATGGGGTTAAGGTCAGGACTGTTGGATGGCCAGTCTATTGCATGAATCCTTTTTTTGTCAATAAAAGTTTTTGCAACACGTGATGTGTACTTTGGATCATTATCCTGTTGTAAACACCAGCTTCTACCATACAATTTTTGTGCTGCAGATAAAAGCTGAGTTTCCAATATGTTAACATAATAAGGCCCATCCACAATTATTGGTAAAGCAAAATAATGACATTTTTCTTTTTAACAAAATGCCACCCCAGGTCATTATTTTTTGATGATCTTTTGCCCTACACAAAGTTTAGATACTTAAAATGCACTTAAAATATACTTAAAATATACTGGTAGAAGAGAACAAGAACATTTTAAGTGAGTTTTAAGTATGTTTTAAGTATATGAAATTATACTCAAAACACACTTAAAATATGCTATATACTTAAAATATACTTAAAACATACTTTTGATGGTAAACTAGCATACTTGAAATACACTTAAAATACACTTAAAAGGTTACTTAAAACATGCTTAATTTTGTTCATTATTAAAAAAGGTATGTTTTAAGCACATTTTAAGAACTTTCAAGTAGATTTTAAGCATGATTTAAATACATTTTAAGCACCTAAACTTTTTGTAGGGTTGACAATCTCCAAATTGGTCTTTGCCCATCTTTATGCCATTTGCAAATTTTATTACGAAACAAGTCAAAGGCTGTTTCACCAGTAAAAATTGTATAACTCCAATCATCATTCATATGAGATTGTGCTCATGCCATTCTTGTTTCAACATGGTGGGCTGTTAATATTGGTGCTCCAACAGGTATGGAATTCTTATAATTTTTTCTTTATTTGTTAAATGAATAAACTTTTCCTCATGTATATTATAAGCATACAACTTGAAAAAGTATTAAAAGTTTTAAATCTTCTATCTTTTTATTATTTTTTATTATTTTGCTAAAAGAACTAAAAAGAAAAAATAGATCAATATTTAATAATAAGATTATTTTCCTTCTAAGTATTTTTGCTTTTTGTTGGGTAGTCAGTACACCTTCGTTCTGCTTTCTTTTTCTAACATTTATGGTTTTTCTTTCTTCTTGGTAAATTTCATAGGTGATCTTTCTTTTCTTAGATAAGCTTCCAGTGTCTGAGTATCATTTATTTTGAAAATGTAAGGTGCAATTTTTTCACCTTGTTCCTTCTTCAAAATACCTCTAATTGTGCTGTAATTTTTGGGTTCCATGGTAGACCTAATGTAAATTAGCTTCATATTAATTATTTTTATATAGAGGGATAGGATAGTTCTATATATCACTTAACAAATGAGACATTATAAAACTGTTAATTATGATCACATTACAAATGAATGACTAAATTTTGATCCCTGAAATTCTTGGTTATACTAATGTTCACTTTATCTGGTTTTGTTGGAGTATGCCCCAAATATACTGATGAAATGTTTGAGTTATCAACCTGTTACTCATTCATCAAGAATTTTGTTATTAAAATTAATAAAATTAATAAATAATATCATGAAATATATTATAATTATAAAATAATTCATAAGCTTTTTGGATATAAATAAAGTCTATGCTAAATTTTGTATATGTGTATGTATATAAATCATTCATTCACTATTATAATTGTTTTCATTATCACTTGTAAATAATTCTAAAAGCATACTTTGAATAAATATTTAACAAATAGTTTTAAATGATCTTTACTTTATTCCCTATTGCGTTTAACATATTTATCTCAAATGATCCTCTGAACATTTCTCAGTGCAGTGTGCAAAAAGCAGCAAATTATCACGTTAACACATATGAATTGATCGACAAAGGAGTTCCAATTTTTCTGGATTCGGTTTCCAAATTTGGTAATAACCCTGATTGTAATAATAAGCTAGCTTTACCGATCCAACTCGGAAAAAAACCTCTAAAATTTGGAGAAATTTTGTAGATCAGGAGGAAATATTATGAATTTTAGTTCAATAATAAAAAATCTTTTATTTGCAGACAAGAGACGATAACTTTAGTTGTTAAGCTCGTGCTACCTCTTACTATCAAAGTACTGTGACGCTCGTTAGTCGTTTGGCAATTGGCAATTGCTAGTTACCATTATAATTTTTATAATTATTGCTTGGTTGATCTAATTGTAATTTTGACCAAAATTCTGAACTACACACATATATATATACACACACTTTAAACTCTTGACCAACATCACTTTTTCTTGACAACAATGTCTTCAAAGGTAATAAAGATGATAATAAGTATTTTAGAGTTTTAAAAAATCAAGTTATTTATTTTCTTTTTTTTTTCAGTCAAGACAAAAACAACAAAACTCCAAAACTCTTTCTGCTTCTGATGGTAAAGAACAAGTTTTGTTAGTTATTACTCGTCTTGTATTGTATTATGGTTATTTTATTATTAAATTTTCCAATTGCTTTTTTTTGGAAAGAAGAAATCAAATACAGGAGAAAATATAAAGAACTTAAAAAAAAAATACATGAAATGGAAGAGGTACAAAATTTCCTTTTTTTTTTAACATATGGTTTTTCTTCTTCTAAATGATTTTATACATATTATTATTATTTTTATTTTAGGAAAATGATAAAATAAATCTTAAGTTGATAGGAGCAAAAAAAAGCATACAGCGATTGAAGATAGAAAGAAGGTAAAAAGCATATATAGACACAAAAGATAAAGATAATTATGAATTCAATATCATCATCATCGTCATCATCATCAATTAACTATTTATTCAATTGACCAGTTATTTTTTCTTTTAGTTTTCTAGTGGATCGTTTAGAGCAATCACAACAACAAATCAATAACGAATCCGAGTCAGAGACTTCATCATCTCCACAAAGAGCAATGGAATCAGATGATGAATTATCTTCGGTGGGTAGTGATGATAATAAAAATATAAATAAAAAAATATTGATGATAATGGCTCTTATAATATAAATATAACTACCTTACAATTCTAAAAGAAAAATTAAATTTCTTATAATTGATATAATATGAAAATTTTATTTTGATCATATTAACGATAAGAAGGCATTAAATCATAATAAATAATTACAAGTTAATTTATATTTATTTATTTTTAATTTAATGTACCCAACTTTATTTTACCCTTTTTAACCTCCTCCACATTCATCTCATCGCACTATCCTCCCCCCACTTTCACAATATATTCCATCTCTTATCACATCATTAATCTATACAATCATCCATGGATCAATGATTATTAATTCTTAAAATTAATAAATTTTTTTAAAGTTGGATAATACATAAATCAATTAAAACAATTCATAATAATAACAATAACAATTATAATAATTTAAATTGAATTTATAAAATTAGTCACAAGAAGAATTGCTTGAAGATTCACATGTAGGGAAACGTAAAAAACAAGTTAAAGATCCAAATGCACCTAAAAGACCACGTAACGCATTCTTGATATATTGTCAGAATCAACGTGAACAAGCAAGAGAAGAAAATCAAAACAACAAAGAATTTCAAGGTGTTACTAGAATTTTAAGTCGGAAATGGAAGGATTTGCCAGAAAATGAAAGAAAAGTTTGTAAAAATTGGACGAAATTTGTTTTATTCTCCCAATAATTTTGCCATCTATACACACTAAGATTTATTTGTCGATATAAATAGGTTTATTTTGAAATGTATGGCAAAGAAAAATTACGTTATGAAAAAGAAATGTCTAGTTATGTTGGAGCTTCGTCAAATAATTATATCGGCCCTGAGGATTCGCAAAGAAATCAAAATATATCAATAATGACGATAGAAGATGTCAATATCAATAATGTTACCAATAGTGTTAATGAACATTCTATTAGTTACGATGATCAAGGTTCATCTTTTTAATAATGCTGACAAAAGATTTTGATTAGAAGCATCAGTTATCAATGTGACTTATTACTAACCTATCTTCCTCTTCCTCTTCTCCCTCTTCTTCTTTAGCAAATGCTGAACAACAACAAATTTCTTCAAAAAGCGCCTATAATCATTACAATTGTCAAGAAGAAAAGTATCAAGGTGGAGTTGATGCATGTGCCACAGAGCCGGGAGCCAATGATATAAAAGACCACCTAATGATGATGACGATCAAAGCGAACGGATATGAAGAAGACGCTTCAAATTCTTCTGGTAATGAAAGAATGTTTGATGAATTAGCAGCGGACATACCATATAATAGATTTGATATTATTCAACAGAGTTCCACTGATCAATCTAACAATGACGCTGGAAATTGGTTAAAAAAGACAGCTGAATTAATGTCGCATTATAATGAAAATGAAGATGAAGATGAGGTAAAAGGTTTAGAAGCTGTCGATGGTGATTATGAGGAGGAAGAGGAAGGATTGGGCAGTGTTGAAGGTGGTTGTAATTTAGAAGGATATGATAGACACGATGCACACAATTTGTTGTCAGAAAATGAAGATTAATCGAATATCAAAATTAGTCAAAGAAACCCTTTCTTCACTTTTAGTAATTAAATACTATCATCCATTTTTTAATTTTTCAAATCGACATTTTGTTCCTAAAGCTTTATGTCTAAAGCTTTGAAAATAATGTCTTGATAAAATAAACATAAATCGATCTATATTAACATATACTTCCCTACCAAAAGTATCCGGATAATTAACAGATACAACCACTAATACTGATTCCTCCCTATATATCTATCCTTTTTGGGGGGTTTTTTTTGAAAAGCACAGTAACAGTAAAGGTAAAACAAAAATCGGGACAGTTTAGTTCGTGATCCGTGATATAGAAGTTTGCCTAAACTACTAAATTTCGGCAATAGTTTCGGCAAATTAAAAAATTTAGTTTCGGTTTTCAAGC